GAAAAGAGAGGGAAGCTGCACCCTCGATTCATCGGTCCGTTCGAGGTTCTCGAACGAGTAGGAGAGGTCGCGTATCGATTAGCCCTACCTCCCGAGTTATCAGGAATTCATAATGTTTTCCACGCATCTATGTTGCGTAAATATGTGTGCGACCCCGATCATGTCATTCTTCATACAGATATTCAAGTTCAGCCAGACCTATCGTACGAGGAGCGACCGGTAGCTGTATTAGACCGTCAGGTTCGTCGGCTCAGGAAGCGAGATATTCCCCTCGTGCGTATTCAGTGGGATCGCCACGGAGCTACTTGGGAGGAGGAGTCCGATATTCGCGCTCGTTTTCCAGATTTTCAGTTTTGATGTACATATTTCTTTATCTTATGTACATAGTTCATGTATATCAGCTATGTTTTGAATTTCCGAGGACGGAAATTTTGTAAGGAGGGAAGATTGTAATATCCCATTATTTTGTGAGTATAAATTATGTTTTAGTTCCGATATAATAATGTTATCAGTTATTATTGTCGGAATTAATTATTTTCAGTCGAGATTACCGAAAATTATTTTCGACGTACCGTTTACGTTCGGAATAATTTTGGTAATTAAGCATTATGTTTAATTATATAATTAAACATAAGAGATGATTAATTAGTATTAATCCTATACATTAGGGCTAAAAGCCGTATGGAATTATTTTCAAATATGCATAAGGTCGTAAGCAAAATGTGTATTTGGTTCCAAATTGTATGCACTTTTCCTAAGGGTTAAGGAAATAAATTTCTTCCCAATTCTTTTACCATCACACGTGTCTTAAGTAGGGGCTAAAGGAAGAGGTTAGTCATCCTAAACTATCTTAAAGAGAAGCAAATGTCAAGGTTAGGGAGGGCCACGTCCAACTCTTGTCATCACCACCCTTATGTTCGGCCATCTATATATAGGTGGAGTTTGGAAAATTTTTCCATCCTTTCTCACCTTTATATATGCAGCCTTATAGTCTTATGTCCAATCCTTAGTTCAACAGCAAGAATTCCCAACATATTGCCTTAGTTAAATTGTACCGCACGCACGACAAGTAGTATCGCACGACAAGTATCGCACACGGCGCACGCACACGCAAGGTCACGATCGGTTTGCGAATTCCGTCGAACACTCAAGGAGGTATAGCTATTCTCAGCATATTTTCATGTTAAAAAGGTCATTTATGAATAAAATGTTCGGTTCCTGATTCAAAATTTCATAGACAGGTCATGATAAGGTTCGGTTGTGCCTAGTGAATTCGTGATCGAGTAACTTCTTTTTCTACCCGGCAACTCTCGTGCAATTCAAGTTTATTTGTTCATTTTAGATCATTTTATATTCAACTACTTGAGGTTGGTCGAGGTAAAATAACATGTTAGCCCAGAATCGGCTCACAGCCATCGGCAGTGCTCGTCGCGCACGCCGCGGGCACTACCATGTCATGTGATAAAAGTTTGCTATTATAGTTAAGTTTTCCGTGCATTTGTGTCTCAATAGCTGTAAAATGATGTTTTATGTTAATTTGGTCTTGAGTTGCCGAGGGAAGAAATGATTTGGTCGAAAGACGGCTAATCGCCGTCGGCGGCACACGACGCGCTCGCCAC